CATGTGATATTTCCATTCGTCACGGTACCAGTTTTGATTTGCTTATAACGACATCACATGCAGAGCCAGAGAGGAGCTTCCCTTGCAAAAAACCCTTGTTTTTTTTTTTTTTTTTTTTTTTAACTGTGGTACTTAAACCCTTCACCAGCTTGGCTGGTACAGGTCTGAAAGCATTGAATCGTCCCTTAAAGCTCATCCAGGGCATTGCCTGGCAGTATTTATGAGCAAATGCTTGTTTTAAAAGGGGAATATAATTAACATTGCACATCAACTATTCTTCAATAAAAAAAATAAAAGGGGAACATAACAGGTTCACTGTTGTAAACATAATTTCATGATCTAAAAAAATTTTGATCATTATTTTCACTGACTTAAAACTTTTTTTTTTTTGCTTGTTTGTTTACAAAAGTCGGGGAGACATGGTCCTAGTGAAATTCACAATTAACTAGCAATTTCATGAATAAGTTTCTTCAGTAAAAATGACAATTATAAACACATACATGTACATATATTTTTCTTTATATCTGTCTCTACATCTATGTCTGTCTACATCTAGATTGCTTGATCAATAGATAAATAAAAGAACAGCTAATATTTGAGTGCTATGTAGCAGGCACTGTGTTTAGTAAAATCTCACTGAATTCAACCCTCACTTGAGAAAGGGATCATTTGTCACGCCATTTACAGACCAAGAAAACATTTCCTCCTTTATTCTTAATTTATAAATCCATAAATCTGTCCCTTTCCAAGTACATAATGCTGAGGATTTTGACTTGTAAGCGATGCAGGCAAGATTCAGTTAAGTGCCGTCAACTAAAGAATTAGAGGGAAAAAGAGACTCAAGAACACACAACCCAACAGAAGGCAGTGTTCTGAGTCACAGGAAGAGAGACAGATTACTTACCTGCAAATGTATTTTAAGCCTAATTCCGTCACTAAACTACATACCCTAGAATTCAACTTTGCAAATAAAAGAAATCCACTGCCTTTTATTTCAAAGGTCCCGGGAGGATGGCAAGGGCTGCTGGAGTTTCCAGATGATTGGCACTGACTGTCCTCATATCCACGGCCTTCTGTAGCACCTCATGTGACCTCTGAGACAGGCCTTGGAGGCAATTTTGAAGCCCCTGGGACACCGACACAGCGGCCAAGTTTATTGGTGCTGGGGCTGCCACAGTTGGTGTGGCTGCTTCAGTGGCCAACATTGGAACAGTGTTTGGCAGCTTCATCAAAACCCCCGGAAACCCTGAGGAAAAGAGGACACAGAGGGGCCCCATTCCAGAATGTCACTTAAGACGTGGAAGGCTTCTGTAGTCCTTGCCCAGCCAAGTCATTTCAAGGCTTCCAAGGAAAGAAACGTGAGAGAAGATAAACTTCGCTTTCATCTTCAAAAACATCAAAAAATAAATAACATCAAAATGCAGGCTGGATAAGGACGACTTCAACGTGCATACATAAGTAATAGTGCATTAATCGGTCCCAGGGGATTGCTCAAGCTCACTAGACTTTATTTGCTATAAAACTGGGGACATGGGGCAGTGAGGCACTCAAGGATTCCAGCCAGAAAGAATCTCTGTCCCTCTGCGTCACGTGTTAGTGCTTCCTTCCTTTCTCAGTCAAGAGGAAAGACATGGAATTGATCAATTTCTCAGGCCCTCTACTCCGTGAAGCTCCACTGAGGCCTCTTAGCTATCTTGGCCAGTTTATAGGTGCAAAAGCCAGCCAATTCAGTGAAATACCTTGTTTTAGAAAACCCAGTAGCTATTATGTATCTTGATCCATGATCTAAGTCTTATTTCCTCAGCTATTGAAATCTTAGGAAGACCTTTTACACCCACTAGGACAGCTATAATAAAAAGTATGAACAATAACAAGTATTGGCAAGAATATAGAGAAAATGGAACTCTCATACACTGCTAATGGGAATGCGAAACAGTGCAACCATTTTGGAAAGCAGTCTGGTAGTTCCTCAAAGGTTAAACACAGAGTGACCATATGACCCAGCAATTCCACTGCTAGGTATACAACCAAGAAAAACGAAAACATACGACTGTACAAAACTTGTACACGAATGTTAATAGCAGCACTGTTCCTAACAGCCAAAAAGTGGAAACAACCCAAATATCCATCAACTGATGAATGGATAAGCAAAATGTGTACCTATCCACACAATGGAATATGATTTGCCAATAAAAAAGGAATGAAGGACTGATATACGCTACATGAACGAACCCTGAAAACATTATGGTAAGTGAAAGAAGCTAGACACAAAAGGCCATATATGATTCCATTTATGTGAAATGGCTAGAATAGGCAAATAGCAGATGGGTGGTTGCCAGGGCTGGGAGAAGCGGGGAGTGGGGAGTGACTGCTAACTGGGACAGGCCTTTTTGGAGTGAGAAAAATGTTCTGTATGGTGGTAATGGTTGCACCATCTTGTGAATATATACTAAAAAAATCACAAATATACAAAAACAGGTTCTCAGGAAGAGAAAACTGTTTATTAATAGAATACCATCTGCCAGAGCTGAGCTAAGCTCCTACGGGCAGCCCTCATGGTAAGACCATGACACTGGTGATAACCAGTTTTACAGCTGAGGAAATGAAGGTCCAGATAGAATCCAGGACTTTCCCGACATCACCCAGCTATAAGAAATAAACCAATCCAGTTCCCTCCCAATCCACCATCCATTGTCTTCCTCCTGGACTTCCTAAGGCTGCAGCCTTGTTTACTTAGACCATTTCCCAGCCATGTGACCCTTAGGAACCTCAAGCAGACCCTCAAATTCCTGATCTATAATAGTGGTCTCTGTACCTAGCCCTCCTAGAGCCTCAATTATACAGTACAAGCTAGCAGACCAACATCTTGCTTCCAGAATGGGGCCTGAGTCCTCAATCCTCAGCTGTTCAAGTCTGTCAGATGGTTTACTGTAACTGCACGTTTTGGTTTCCTATGCGTGGTATCAAGGAACTTCCCAAAACATCTGGTGGAGGGAAGCTCCCTGAGGTAACAAGGGATGGAGAAGCTGAGGAGAAAAGGGTACCCGGTTCTCAGGGAATCCACCCAACGCCCCTGAAGGCCTGACTTCTCCGCCATGCTTCACCATCCCTGTATCCTGCCCAAGGTCGCCATCAGCTAGACCTTGAGCAGCCTCTCGAATCACCCCACTTCAGGGCTGGTACCCCTCCTTCCTCACCAAGATGCCTGCGACTTTCGGTTCTTCATGTCTCGATGACAATCACACTGCGTTTCGACTCATTCCCATTGTTGCCGTAAGTCTCGGGGTGGGAGGTGGGCTAAGCTAAGCAGGGCAGGGGGAAGCCTTATGCTCCAGGATTCTTACCAAGCCCTGCCCGTGTCAGTTTATTTGGACCACATTACCTTCCTTCCCTTGATGACAAATCTAATTCTAAAACTAAAATGGCCAACAGCTAGGAGTATAATCTACCTTGTCTATTTACAAGATAGCTTACATTGTAAAAAGCCGTAACCTGCACCTTCAGTCTCAAAAGTATAGAAGATGTACCATGGATTTGCATGAATGTGGAGAACCAGCAAGTCCTTCCTGCAGCCTGGCCAAGGGGAGGGAGCCCATTGGTGTAGACGGCCAGAGGGCTGCAGAAAAATCTTCCTGAACACATGTGACTAAAGGTTGCTTTCCCTTTTTTTAAGATTTTTTTTATTGAAGTATGCTTGATTTACGATGTCATCTTTTTTTTTTTTGGCCGTGCCACGCAGCTTGTGGGTTAGTTCCCCGTCCAGGGATTGAACCCGGGTCAAGGCAGCGAAAGTGCCGAGTCCTAAGCACTGGACCACCAGGGAATTCCCGTGTTTAGCTTATTTTTTAAATCCCATTCTTTTGGGTGGGATTATAACCCTGTCCTGATAATAAATAGCACAGGAGATTGGCAAATGCAGAACGAGGGCTGAGGCCACGCTTCAGTTGGCTGGTGAGACCCTCACTCTACCACTAATGGCCTCAAACAGAACAAAGATGCCACCTTCTTTCCGCCCCCCCCAGGAGAAATATTTATGTATGTATGTATGTATGTATGTATGTATGTATGTATGTATGTATTTATTTATTTATTTTTTCGCGGTACGCGGGCCCTCTCACTGTTGTGGCCTCTCCCGTTGCGGAGCACAGGCTCCGGATGCGCAGGCTCAGCGGCCACGGCTCACGGGCCCAGCCGCTCCGCGGCATGTGGGATCCTCCCGGACCGGGGCACGAACCCGCGTCCCCTGCATCGGCAGGCAGACTCTCAACCACTGCGCCACCAGGGAAACCCGAGAAATATTTATTTTATTCTGAACTGAAAACTTGAGTTCTGGCCAAGGACGGCACTTTTTAACCACCAACAGCCCCAGAAGGTTCTGAGAGCGTGGCTGAAGTTCAGAAGCCGGATTGTTTTTGTCTCCTTTTCCCGGTGTTGAGGCTGGCAAGTGAATATAATGAAGCTGTTAAGAGTCACAGATTCACATTTGTTAAGAGGCCAAAAAAGCCCTTTCCCTCTTCAGATTCTGGGTGGATGGAAATAAGTAAAACTATTTTGAAAGCTTGTTCAAGTTGTCTTTTTGAGAGTTTGAAGCAAATTCTACATCATGAGGAAGGCAGCCTAAAAGATTTCAAGGGGCCCAGTATCCAGACCTTCTGACTATCTCCCCTCTCAATACCTCCCAGCCTTAGAACAGCTGCCCGTTCGCAGAGCTCCCTCCGATGCCATTCATGTGCTCCTCTGGGAGCGGCTGGGGCCCAGAAAGGAACACGGACTCCCCTGGGGTCCCAGGGAGCAACGGAGCCAGGACTTGAACCAGCCTCTTCTGATTTTCCATTGGACCCACCTGTTGCAGGTACAGCTAGTGCCGGACAACCCCTCTGACAAGTCACTGTTTGTAGCAAAGAACAGACCTCCCCAGCTCTGCTTTCCTTCTGCACAATCACACCACACAGCACGAGTCGGCACCTCCGAACACGGGAAACCATTTGGTAAGACACGAGTATTAAAAAAATAAGCTGCGTGACATTTATTTTGTCTTGTTAACATTATTATCTGTAGAAACATTTTTATTGTCAGTATAAAAATTAACAGGCTTTATTAAATACTTTCTCCAATTTCATAGCACGTTAAAAATCAGTGTCATCTCCATTCATGCTGCATGGCTACAGCAGAGTGAGTAGGTGTTCTGAAAGCAAAACACAGCACTTTCATACAGAATGGACAGCGTGGCAGTATTCTGATGTTGGCATTACGCGGGATTCTTTTGGTGAGGTCCTGCTAGGCGGAAGCAATTCCTTAAAAAGGTGGAAGGATCCCCCAAACTATCAGCAGAACAACTTGGTGTTTCCATTTTCTTCGATGGGACATGAAGATTCTAAAAGGCTTCTCTGTCGCCAATGAATCTGGAAGCCATTATGAAGATTCGCCGAAGAATACAGGCTAATCTGATCAACGTGCAACTCAGGGGCAGAAGGCCAGCTGCCGGAGAGCAGAACACTCTGCTAGCATCTCAATGAAGGGCCCTCCTTGAGGAATGGACTAAGGCATCTTTTTAAGAGAACGGTGGTACCATTTGTCTTGGGGAGCCCAGTTAAACGTTTATGGGCGCAATGACAGAGCTGCACCAAAACAAAACGCCTTCTTATTAACGAGTTCTTTTTAACATGGGCATTTAGGTGGTTTAAGAACAATCATCTGACAGCAGAGTTGAAACACAAATAAATCAAAACTTCATTTTCCCCAAATCAGTCCTAGTTTGTAAATATTTCTCTTTTCAAAGGATCTGATAACTAGTTAAGTCCAAGCAAGAGGTTAGCTAGTCTGATGCGCTGCCGGCATAGAAATGCCACTTAAATTACAAAAAAAAGCCCTCAAAACAAAAAAAAAACTATAAACAATTGTTTTGTATATTACCAATCCATTAATAAATTAATGTTACACCATTTTCCCTGAAAGCAAAAGTATTTTTCCACCTCTGCTCGGTGAAAATTAAGAAATTCTGTGTAAGAACAGCATTTAGCAAATAGCTATTTAAAAAAAAAAGAGGGAGAGAGAGACCAATTCTCTAGGTGCCTTGGGACATCCATTTAAAATCAATACAAAAAATAATTCCTTGTAAATATATAATATATATTTATACATAATTTGAATATATTTACATACATCCAGCACCTATATACTGCAATTGTGCTCTATAAGTATGTGCTGACATATATTTTCTCCATTTATTACAAAATTCACAAGAAATGCAGAATGCATGTTTGCCTTGAGTCTGGCTGGTCCACAGCCAGTACCCACAGTGGGTCATCAGCACGTGATGGCCCATGGCAGTCCATTGCCCCGGAAACATTCTCCTTCTCCTGGTGAAGATTACAAATTCTTTACACGTGTGCTGATTACTTTTCCAATTATTTACTCCTCTGATGCATATACACACACAAGCCAAGACAACAGGCTCCCAGAGGCAGGGCCTCCCTGCTCAGTACAGCTAGGTTCCTGGTGCCGCCCTGTTTGCGGATGGGGGACAAGCCCATTCATGTTTTAACACTGCCGTTTCTATGTGGATACTGAGGAAGGCAGGGTTCGTAAGGCATGGGGTCCGGAGAGAAAACAGAATCATCTCCCGAAGAGCAAGAACTCCTTGTGTCAGGGTAACTAGGTGAATACTGTTCAAGAGGCTGACTGAGGTCCAAGTATTCCTGAAAGAAGGGAAGAGAGACGTTTTATTTCATCTCGGGTCAGGATAACAAGGTGAATACGGTTCGAGAGGCTGACTGAGGTCCAAGTATTCCTGAAAGAAGCGAAGAGAAGACTTTTATTTCAAACGCAGGCTCTTGAGACGTTGATATGGGAGTTGGGACAACATGGGGGCACCCCCAGCAGGTTGAGACCTGCCCACCCCGGCTTCCACAAAGACCACCTTGAGACCCCAACTTTATCTCCTCTAGGCTGCCCTTCACTTTTCTTCTCAACCCATCTCAAATGAACTATTGGCAAGTAGGGAATGTTAACACCCAGCTGAGCAGTCACCTCGACGGGCACAGACCCAAGGACCTGCTTGTTGGACCACACGGTTCAAATCCGCACCCAGCAAAATGGAAAAAACGTAAGATGTTGTGGATGCCCGGGAGCCCTTTCCATAGCTGAGACCATGAATATTTATTTCACGAATTACATTTTACTATCATAGCTTCCAGGATAATTTAAGGGGAATATGTCTTCATTCAGCGGGTAATTTCACAGATGCAATTCATTACTCTCAGAAGCTCTCTGAGTTGAAAATGTAAACAGGTTCAAAAAAGGCTTGGATATACTCGTGTTTGTTACACCCACAATGGACAGTTGGAGAACAGTTTAGGAAAATGCAGGTTGCGTCTTCACGTTTTGAAGGTTTGAAATTCAAAAAGGGCTCTTCTGCTCCCTGAAGTATCCATCGGTGTTGCTGTCAGAAAGCCCACCCGATGGCCCCCAGATAACATTGCTTCCGACTTAAGACAGGGTGAGAGCTTACTGCCTGCTCTTGTGTGGCCCGTGAGCTAAGAACGGTTTTTAACATTTTGAAATGGTTGGGGGAAAAAAAAAAAAATCAAAAGAATAACATCTCATGGTACTAAAACTATGTAAAATAACAAAAGTCACATTAAATTTAAAATTTAGGGTCCATCCAGTTTTATCTAAACACAGACATATTCATTTACACATCGTCCGTGGCTGCTTTCCTGCTACAATGGCAGAGTTGAGTGGTTGCTACAGAAACCCACAAAGAGGCCCATAAAGCTGAAAGTTGACTGTCTGGCCCTTGACAGAAAAGGTCTGCAAAGTATGAAAAGATTTCTAAACTGGGGAACTTCTGGGCATCACTGCCTCAACTGCCTCAACTGGGCTAGCATGTTGGGGTGCTTCTGCTCACACCCCCAAAAGCCAAGGAGAATACTATGACACATGGTTTTGCTGAAGGGGGGCAAAAAGTGCAGACCACAGCACAACCAGCCTCAGTGTTATCAGAAAAGAGCCCACAGAATGTTGGCGACTATACATTTTAAAAGACAAAAAAAAAAAAAAAAAAAAAAAAAAAAAACACAAAACCCAAACCACCCCTGTAATTCATCACCAGGTTTGGCAAGAAAAAGAGTCCCCATCCAAGAATGGGGGATGTGTCAGTTCCAACAACATCAGGAGGAACTGCACAACTGGAAACAAACACGCCCACCACATCAAAAGAGAACTTTTTTGCTTACAATGATAAAAATGAAATTTTGTCCTAAATGGAACCAATTTTCTCCAGCATATGGTAATGATTTTCAGAAGGAAAGAAACTTCGATTTTTATATCCGTTAGACAATATGGCATTCTGCTTTTTAATTTTAGGATGCTAGATGTAAATTTCAGGGTGAAAATGGGCCCACTTTAAATGTAAATATATAAATAAACAGCATAGAGCACGGCCACAGGATCATTAAAATGGAACTTTAGTGCTTTCCCAGTTTCTAACTGAAGCCATAAATGTTCAGATCTGATAGGGAAAAAAGAAAAAAAACTAGGGATATCAGTGGATTCCAAGTCTAGGGTTAAAGGAACTTATACTAGAAACAACAATTTTGGCAGGAGAAGAAAGTTGGTGGTTTTTTTTTTTTTCCCTTGAACTGTTCCTTTCAACTTCTGAAGGTCAGCTGTATTCATTTAAATGCAATCTCTCCCTTTATCAGCTACAGTCAGACGCACAGATAATATTGCTGGCTTAAGGCTTCAAATCACAATATTTGATTATTTTTTTAAAAAATCAGTCTGAAACTATTAAATGCATTATTTTAAAATAAAGGTATTCGTTTCCTTCTAAAATATTTAGGCAATTTTAACCTTTTTTTGCTGTTATTAAGACAATTGTAGGGCTTTTCTCCCCCGCCCCGCCCCCCCCCCCTGCGTCTGCTAACCCCAAACTCACAGTCCATCCCTCCCCCCCCCCCCCCCCCCCCTCGCCACTGTTTGGAGGAACACTGTTCTACATCCTCATTAAATAGCTCTAATTCATTCACTAACAAGTTCTCCCTATTGTGGGGTTTTTCTGGCCTTGATGGGTTTATCATCTTTCCTGCTCGGACCACTTTGTTCCCCCAACCAGAGATGACTCCGCATGGTGATGCAGCCACTGACATGGCCGAGTTTGGACAATGAGTGACAAAAGAGGGTTTCTTTTGTTGGTATAGATTACAAATATTTTCTAGAAAATAAATATTTTAACAAAAGGTATGAATTTTCACTTAAGGATCCTGTAAGTCAGTCATTAAAGGAAACTCTGTGTACATTTATGCTGTGACCAGGCAGGGTCACATCGTTATATAGAAGCTGGAATGTGTCACATATAGAAGCTGTGTCATGTGTTATATAGAAGCTGGAATGGCACAACTTCAAGGCATCCCATCCAGCTCATCAGTAACGGACCATCAGCAGCCCTCACAGTAATGACCAGCAGCCCTCACCCTAATGACCAGGGCAAGGAATCCAACCAGCACAGAAACCCCAGCTCCTTCCCACGCAAACCCAAACACTGCAGTCGGACATTTCTTTCCTCTCCCCATCCCCCTACATATACGCACCCTGGACCCACCACCCACATGCCACAGTGAGGGGCAGCCTCAGGTGGGGTCCTCTGTCTCTGGTTTTGTGAGACAGAACTCTCAAGATGTAGTTCTGAGAAAAGTCAGGATTTGGGAGGAACACATAGGTTCACTCTGTCTGACCCCTGTGGAACAAGGATAAACTATACCCCAGAGTCCAACAGGGGAGGCTACATTTCAAAAACTGTGCTGGTCTCCCAAGCAAGGACCCTGGGCTTCTGGAAGGAGGTTCTTAACTTACCTCATTGGTTGTGAGTGTGAGAATTCGATCCAAGTCTTCTACCAACTGCTTGAAGGTGGGTCTCTGTGAGGGCACCGCATGCCAACAGTCTCTCATCATCATATACCTGGAAGAGATGGGTTTCCTTGGTGAATTAATTCCCTAAGTACTAGGGGGCATGGCTATAAGCCAGTCTTAATAGTGAATATGGAGAGATGTCCTCAATTATGAAAATGTATCAGAACCTCCCTAGCAACTAAATTGGGGGGTGGTGATCCACTTTGCCAAAAGAGGCACTGCTTGATTCCTCTGAAAGGCACTTTGATTTACAAAAACACCACGTTAACCAAAATGTTTTAGGAAGGTATATATGCCATCAAAAAAGACACTTCCATGTGTTTTCACGGCTGACTTCTGGTATCCCTGTGGCAGTGACTTATAATAGGATATCACATTTCCACGGCACTTTTGGACACTGTGGGAAGAGCCCTATAGGAGCAGGCGGGAATCCGGTCCTCCCTCCCCACACGTCCCTGCCTGGACCAAAGCTGCTCTACCGTTATCTGCCTGACACTCTGAACAAACGTTCCTCAGTTTTAAAAAACTGAAGTTTGAAAACTACAACTTTAAGGCAAGGTTCTTATGAATTAATCTGCTGTCACTGGGCTGTACCTTCACTTCCTGATTAACTCTTGGATAGGCCTAGGTTCCCAGGCCTTATCTTGAGGATGGGTTCCGACAGACCCTCTAAGGCAGCAAAAGCACCAGGAATGACAAGGAACACAATAAAACGCAAGAGGGGGGAGATATGGGGACATATGTATATGTACAGCTGATTCACTCTGTTATAAAGCAGAAACTAACACACCATTGTAAAGCAATTATACTCCAATGAAGACGTTAAAATAAATAAATAAATAAATAAATAAATAAATAAATGCCTTTATATAACATACTATAAAATGTGGCCGTTCATCAGATGTCCACTGTACACCAAAAAGCACTCATGGGATTACTGATATAAAATCCCATGAAACGATACCCAAGAGACCGTGGTCTCTGGGACAATCCCTTTTCTTAGTCAGTTCTGGGGGTTGGGAGGAGAGACTCCTTTCCAAAGCACTGACGTTACTGCGCAAGACCCATGTCACCAACACAAGGTAATTCCACTTAAAGTGCGGGGTAGGTTTTGCTAGAAACCAGCTCATGGTTTTAGAGTCAGATCGGGTACTCTAAGGATGGCACCTGGACAAGTTTTTAATTCTCTGCACTAAAATATGGGTAAAATATAGGTAACCAGACACTAGTTCATTCGCCCTGAGGAATGTGGTTGAGGTCCATCTATAATAGCAATTTTCAATGGTCACAAAGAGGCTGCAGACGCACCCACTCTCCACTCGCTGTGCGGGGGCCACAGGCACAAGCCATGAGGAAAGGGGGCAGCCCCAGGGCTTTTGAGCTTGTGTATGTGGGAAGCCTGATGTACCTTCCTGTCACTTTGACAACAGCAAGGCACAGTACAGTGGCCCAGGAAGATCACCGGGCTCGCTGTGTGAAGTCAGGAGCCCTCGGCCGGGCAGCCCGACACCCTCTGCGGTTTAAAGCTCGCTCCATACACCTCAGAAGGACGCTCTTTCTTTTGGACAGTCCGGGCTGTCCATGGAGCTTTCTATCTCAGTTCCAGGATTGGGCCCGGAAAGTTTCAGCAATTCTTCTTCTTAGGACATGTTTAAAAAACCAGGGGCCTTAGAAAACCAAAGTATCCAGGAGAAGCATCACTGGCGGGCAGGGGCTCCTGGGGCATCGGGAGAGACGACGGCCCTTACAGTTCATTGGTGCAGTTTGCCGGCTTATCCATCCTGTGCCCTTCCTTAAGCAGCTTAAAAAGTTCCTCCACGGGAATCCCTGGGTAGGGCGAGCCCCCTAAAGTGAAGATCTCCCACATTAACACCCCGAAGGACCAGCTGCAAAGAAGGGAGAAAACAGCATTAGTAATCCATCTGAATCACAGAAACCTAAACACGCCCAGTTAAGAAAATAAACGCCCACTTACTTCTTACGTTCAAAGACAACTGACCGGGGCCCTCCTACAGTTCATCCTACTTGCCCCTTCCTGCCACCAAAGAGCATCCCCAGATGACAACGAGAGGCTATTCTGATGGAATTTTCCATCAACAGACAAGTGATAAGTAAACCACCACTCTTTTGGGGGGCAGAGGGGAGGGTGGAGATTTGGGGGTTTTTTCCTCCTTCCATCACTCTCAAATAAAACTCTCTGTCTTAAGGCAAGTGTTCTAAACATGAACTTCGAAACTGCAAAGCTCTTTATGCTCCTGTCCAGCTCTTTTGCCGGCCTATGTGCCCTGACCCCAGGGCTGTGACCTACAGTATGAGCAGCTGACAGAATAAGGCCAGCATGCTGATTCTGAGAGGTAACAGCTGCCCAAGGTGGCCAGTGGACCATCTGAGGGCACAAAAGTTTTCCGACTTACTAAGGTCATGAAGGGAGTTAGCGCCGGGCTGGGATTAGGATGGAGGAGCGCTGTGCCCCAGACAAATTTCATACGACAGAAAAGTGAAAACATCTCACGGGGCACAATTTATACCTGACCGTGCAGAGAGCCACAGTTGGATACGGAGCCTTGTTCAAGAGACTCACAATTCCTGAGCTAATTAGGCCGAGAGTCCTGCATTTATCTATGTCACTGGAAATACACCCGCACTGATTCTGTTGAGTTTCAGAAATGAAACCGCCTTTGGTTTTGTGCAGAGCGAGACTAGCAGCACAATCCAGGCAGTGTGCTCACTGCAGAACTGGGAATCGTAACACTTTCCTTCTAGGACTGCTGAAGAGGACCAGTGGCTGTAGCATGGGATCCATGCCTGCCCCAGAAATCTTCCCACCCACACAAACAACAGTAGCTCAACTGATTTTTTAATTCAAAGGAACTGGCAAAAAATAGAACAGAGAGAGATCCTCTGTACCTTTCACCCAGTTTCTCACAATGGTAACATCTTTCGACCACATTTCCAAAGCTGGAATTCTAAAATACCAGTTGGAGCCTGGCCCTAATAATATTTTTAAGTGTATCACAATAGAAATATTGTATAGTTTGCACTCTATTTCTGTAACATTATCAAGGATGCTATGACAAGATCAGAATTTTTTCAAAGGATAAACAGGGAGCGGGCCCTGGCGGGATCATCCTAGTGGATCGTGTCCCAACCAGCTTTCCCCTATGAGGACAAACCTAGGATGTGGAAAACATGACAAACTACTCTCAAGTAGGAAAAGTTTCAGGGCGCGAAGAACACGCCAACAGCCTGGCAAATTAGATAGCAGCTTTGTACTTGCACATCCGTGAATTAGTTCAAGGGGGAGAACTTCCGCTCTGGCAGGAGCAGGTTAGCGGTTCCACCTCCTGTGCGCTTTGAAGCCGGGCAGATTAGTAACAGAGCATTGGTTACCAGCCTACCATAAAATCCATCCTTTCTAAGGCCAGCTCCTGCACCTTCTCTGCATGTGTGAAATGCAGCAGGGACCAAAGAATGAAGGAAGGCAAAGAATGTACGAGATTTTTACAACTCAGCCCGAGGGAAAAGGCAGAGACAAGGGAATTACTTACACATCACTCTGATGGGTGTACACTCTATCGAAAAGGGCTTCGGGAGCCATCCACTTGACTGGAAGTCGGCCCTGCAGTGTAGAAGAAATGTAAAAACCCATATATTAAAACCGATTTATTTTAGCAGGCTCAACTGGGCTGTGCCCTGTTTATTTTAAGAGCTGACACTCTAATGGTTTTTGCTGGACAGTCACTAGCGCAGAAATAAGCTCCAACTGGGACTACACAGAGCGTGGGAGATGCACAGATTTGGACACGTTAATAAAATGTCGTTTCCTTGGATTCTCATCATCATCTATCTCCCTGGCAGGCAGACACACCCTGACCAGCTCCTAGGTGAAAATTAACCCAGAAACTCCCAGGCTCTAACCTTTGCTAGGAATGTTCTTGACAAGGAGCCTTATGAAGGTTCTTGCTGCTGATTACTCTGTATATAAGACTGGTTCACATTTACCAAGAGTATCTTAACTGTAGTCTAAATTTGCTTACTGAGAAGTTTATAAAGAGTAAGGCAAAAGAACAGGAATAAAAAGGCATTGGTCCTTCTAGCTCTGAGCAACATCTTTCACCTGGAACATCCCGTGCCGCCTCTCCACCCCCTCCCACTTCATCACTGCCACAACTTACATTTGTGGTCTTTTTGTAGTAGTCTATATTGTTGATATCTCTGGCCAGTCCAAAGTCAGCTATTTTCATCACATTGTTTTCTGTTACCAAAACATTTCTGGCAGCTAAATCTCGATGAATGCACTGAAATCGAGAAAGAACTCATTTCAAAATGCTACAAGAATAAAAAGGTAATGTACGCACTTCTTATAATGCAGAGAGAAAATACATCTTACGTCAAAAATTGGTATTTCTTTTCTAATTAAAATAAAAGACCAAGGCTGCAACTACTTCAAAGAGCAAAGGTAGATAAAGAAAACACATGCCCTTTTATCTGCAGTTGACTGGCATCCTTCGTATTACGAACACCTAAATGACTTTTTTTTTTTTTTTTTTTTTTTTT